TCAGTAACAGAAAGATAACTAAAAAGTCCCAAAACATGTGGAGATTAACCAACACACTTCTAAATACTATATGGGTCATGAAGAAATCTCAAGAGAAATTTAATAATATTTTGAACTAATGAAAATAAAAACACAACTTATAAAAACATGAGATGCAGTGTAAGCAGTGTTTAGAGGGAAATTTATAGCATTAAATGCATATATTACAAAAGACAAATGAGCTAAAATCAATCATTTAAATTTCCACCTTAGGAAAGTAGAAAAAGAAGAGCAAATTAAATCCAAAGTAAGCAAAAGAAAAGAAACAATAAGAATTAGAGCAGAAATAAAAGAAACCCAAAACAGGAAATCAATAGAGAAAGTCACCCAAACCAAAGCTGGTTCTTTGAAAAGATCGATGAAATTGATAAACTTCTAACCAGGAAGCTAAGAAAAAAAGAGATAGAACACAAATACTAATATAAGAAAAGAAAGAGGGGACATCACTGCAGAGCCTGTGGACATTAAAAGAATAATAGAATATTATGAACAACTCTATGCTCACATATTTGACAAACTAGATAAAATGGACCAATCCCTTGCAAGACACAATTTGCCAAAACTCACATAAGAAGAAATAGACAATCTGAATAGGCCTATATCTAGTACAGAAATTGAATCAATAATTAACAACCTTTCAAAGCAGAAAACACTAGGCCCAGATGGGTTTACTGGTGAACTCTACCAAACATATAGGGATGAAATTATATCAATGCTCTAAAATCTCTCAGAGAATAGAAGCAAAGAGAATACTTCCTAACTCATTCTATGAGGCCAGCATTACCCTAGTACCAAAACCAGACTAAGATAATACAAGAAAATTATAGACCATTATCTCTCATGAACATAGACTCAAATATCTTCAACAGAATATTTATTACATCCCAGCAATGAACAAGTGGAATTTGAGATTAAAAACATAATACCATTTCTATTACAGGAAATACCTGGGTATAAAGTAACAAATTATATACATGATCTTTATGAGGAGAACTACAAAACTCTAATGAACAAAATCAAAGAACTAAAGAAATGGAGAGACAGTCCATGTCCATTGATAGGAAATTTAGTATTGTCAAGATGTCAGTTCTTCCCATCTTGATCTGTAGGTTCAATACAATTCCAATTGAAATCCCAGCAGTTGTTTTGTGAATACTGAAAAACTGATTTTAAAGTTTATACAGAGAGGCAAAAGATCCAGACTAGCCAGCACAATATAGAAGGACAAGAACAAAGTTGAAGACCTGACACTACTCACCTTCAATACTTAATATAAATCTACAGTAATCAAGATAGTGTGCTATTGGTGAAAGGACAGACAAATAGATCAATGGAACAGAATAGAGAGCCCAGAAACAGACCCCCATATATATAGTCAACTGATCTTTGACAAATGGGCAAAAACAATTCAGTGGAGCAAAGACAGCCTTTTCAACAAATGTTGCTGGAACAACTGGACATCCACATGAAAAAAAATAAATCTAGACACAGATTTTACCCCTTCACAAAAATTATCTTAAATTGGCTCATAGATCTAAATGTAAAGTGCAAAAGTATATAAATACTCCTAGAAGATAACATAGTAGACAACCTTGATAACCTTGGGTATGGTGATGACTTTTTAGATAGAACACCAAAGCTGCAATCCATGAAGTAATTGGTAAGCTGGACTTCATTACAATTAAAAAATTCTACTCTGGGGCTGGCTGAGTGGCGCATTCGTTAGGAGTTGGCTTGGGACGACAGCTCTGAGCGCAGGGGCCCGGTTCGGATCCCACATGAGGGCCAGTGATGCTGCGCCCTCTACAGCTAAGATGGTGAACAACAGCTTGACCTGGAACTGGGCTACCTGAGCTGCAGGCGACAGCGTAGGCTGCAGTGGGGCTGGCTGGCAGCAGGCGTGAGCTTTCATGAGCTGCTGTGAGCCACTGTGAGTGGCCGTTCAACAGCTGGCGAGCAACTGCCTCAACTGGGAAGAGCACAATGATAATACCAACATGGGCCAGTGAAGTGACGTCCTCCACAACTAGACTGAAGAACAATAGGACAGCAACTTGTCTGTTCCCCTTCCCCAATTCCCCAGCGCTGTTCCCCTCTCCCCATGCCCCAATTAAAAAAAAAAAGTCTACTCTGTGAAAGACAATGTCAAGAGAATTATAAGATGTGCCATGGACTAAAAGAAAATATTTACAAAACATACATATAACAAAGGATTTTTACCCAAAATATACAAAGAACTCTAAAACTCAACAAGAAAATGACCCAGTTTTAAAAATGGGCCAAAGACCTTAACAGACACCTCACCAAAGAATATAGATGGCAAGTGATCATATGAAAAGATGCTCAACATCATAAGTTACCAGAGAAATATTTCTGATGTTAATGTACAGTACCATGGGATAATACTTTATATTTCCAGTATTCTTCCTTGTGGCACTTTGTATTCGCTTTTCACACACACACACACACACACACACACACACACACACACACACATACACACACACAAATCGACAAAAACCTTTTTAGGACAATGTTTTATAGGGAATAAACTAAAATGACATAGATCCCTTGTTTAGCAGTTCATCTTAGGATCCTGCCATTTGATATCATTAGTTTGGCCCTTTTGCCCCTTAAGAACTTACTATCAACTGAAAATTAGTAAAATTTAAGGTGCATTTGTATGCCCCATCACTTTCTAAAATGTGAAACTCAACTGGCTCCAGTGTGGATTCTGGGACATCAGCCATCATCTTCTGTTCTTCAGAAACTTACTGAATTCTTCCCTTGCTATCCTTCATTTCCTCCTAACTAAAATTTGCTCACCTATAGGTCAAATAAAACGTTGATATTATGTGTATATGTGCCTATGTCTTAGGTACATACCTAATCATACAACTAAGCATGTTTTTTTGGTAGAAGAGGAATAACATGAAAGAGTGTGAATCCAAATAAAAGTGCAGGCTGGGATTTAGAAAAAAGCTTATGGGCTTTGGAACAAGACCAATGTTCCCTGAATCCCATTTCTGACCTATGCTGGCTACTGACCGTGGCTGAACCATGGAAACTCTGGGCCTCTAGGGCCTTCCCAGCTGGTTGTAAAGAGGATGCGTTATGCTTACAGTAGGCCTTCAGTCAAGATTAGGCCTCCCTTTCTTCTTCCATCTGAGAAAACATAAAACTAGTGATAACTGATATTTTAAAGCCCTTGTTATATACCTAGGCTGTGCATGAAAAGAGGTTTGTGCATATTAATAGCACAAGAATCACGAGACTGACTGGTTAAGAGTAAGGACTCTAGAACCAGTCTGCCTGGTTTCAATTCCTGACCTTACCAATAACTAGCTTCATGGCTCAGAACAAGTTACTTCACTACTCTGTGCCTCAGTTCTCTCATCTTAAAAGTGGGGAGATAATGGCTGGCTGAGTGGTGTGTTGGTTAACAGCTGGCTTGGGACGCCAGCTCTGGGCAGCAGGGTCCCAGTTCGGATCCCACATATGAGGGCCAGTGACACTGCCCTCCACAGCTAAGATGCTGAACAACAGCTCAACCTGGAGCTGGGCTGCCGTGAGTCACCGGCAACGGTGTAGGCTGCAGCCCCTGCTGCAGTGGGTTGCCATGGGCTACTGTGTGTAGCCAGCAGTCAGCGTGAGCAGCCAGCAGCCGCCATGAGCAGCCATCCAGAAGCCTGCGACTGATCTGCCTTGCCCGGGAAGAGCACAATGATAGTGCCAGCTTGGGCCAGTGAAGCAACGTCCTCCATGACTAGACTGAAGAACAAAACGACAGCAACTTGTCTGTTCCCCTTCCCCAATTCCCCAGCGCTGTTCCCATCCCCCAATTCCCCAATAAAAATCTTTAAAAAAAAAAAAAGTGGGAGATAAGAACAGTATTTTCCTCTTGGGGGACTTGTGAGGGTTAAGTGAGATATATTTGTTAAACATTTAGTATCTGACATAGTACTTAGTATATGTGAGCTTCTATTATAAATAGTATTATTATCTCATTTACTCTTTCGACGAGCTCAGTGAATTAGGTAAAATCACTGTTCTTATATTATTTGTGGGAAAATGATGATAAGCAAGGTGAAATAACTTGCCCAAGGACACTCAGTAAAAAACAGAATTAGGACTTGAGTCTTGTTTATCTGTTATTAACTACTAAAATTTTCCCTTATTTCTTTCCAAGCCAATTTCTTATGGGGATTGTCTAAATAGCCTGATGTAAGAACTTGTCAAAAAGCTTTTTGAAACTTTAAATATAAATTTTCTCTCCAAATCTCCTTAGTCATGCTTATTTATCCCCTCAAACAACTCTAGTGAAACCAACAAACATAATTTCTCATGCAGAAATCATGTTGACTCCTTCATGCTAAATTATTCTCTTTTGGCTAGTCAGCTATCCTACCTTTTCACCAATAACCTCAGGAAACCTGCAAGGCTGATTTAAATTTTAAAAGGTGGGTGTGAATTTGGACAAATAATTTAGCCTCTTTGAAAGGGGATTGGACTAGATAATCTCTAGGGTCTTTCCCTGCTCTAATTCTGTGATCCTATGTGTGGAATCTTCAATTATGATGTAATAGCCCAGAAGCTCTTTTCCATTTGCTATCTGACTGCACCATTCCATTTATTTGATCTCCTATTTACATGTGTTTGTTTTCCTTCTGATTCTTTAGGACACAAGATAAAAGAGATAAAAGACACTTAAGAAAAATGTGCTAAAAAGGACATGTTAAAGTTAAATGGCATAGGGAATTTGGGTGGGGGAGTGAATTCGACATCATTCACTTTAGGTAAGGCTTCTTTTTCTGTCATTACTTTGGTATTCTGCAATCTTCTTTTAGTGACCATATCATCCTTTCATTTTATATTCAAATAATACTGTTCTGAAGGCTCTGAAAGAGCCGATATCCAAATGTCACATGATATTCTGGTGTTTCTTTAAATACAATACATACTTTGTTTCCTTCCTTTCAATGGGAAAATCATCAACGGTTCCATGTGCCTCAGTTAAGTCCGCTGAAATTTGGGCTCCTTGTTAGGAACCATCTTAATATATCTCCAGAAATGACCATAGTTTCTTTATCTATAAATATATTCCAAGAAAAAACATTGAATTTATTAAGTGCCTGTTGTATATTCAGAATTGTTTCATATGCTGGAGATACAGAAATCTAAAAGGCAGAGATCATCTTAAAAAAAAAACCTTAGTGAATCAGAACAATATAAAACTATAACATACCTAAAGCTGTGCTACAGTTGAGCCATACAGATGTTCTGGAAGCACAGAAGATGAGCACCTAGCTGTTTGCTGGGAGGAGAGGCCCATGACTTCTCAAAGAAGTGATGATTAGGTGGTGTCTTGAAAACCGCATGTGAATTGGTCTCGTTTTGAGATGAAAATTCCAGAAAGAGGGATCAGGAGGTACAAAAAGTGAAAGGAAAGCATATTTGGAACACTGTTTCCATACAGGAAGAGTTAAGAGTGCTTTTGGTCCAGTGGGTAGAGTCTAGTGTGGAGAGGTTGAGGTTGGCAGAGTATAAGGGATCTCACATGTCATACTAAGTATTGTCGAGTAGTTCATGAAGCATCTCGTATGCAGTTTAAGCAATTGACTGATATCTGATTTGTTAGCACTTTACATTTCCAACCATAAGAGAACTTCTTACAAAGGGTTCCAATGACCTTGTCCAGCCAATCAATTTCCAAGGTTTAATAGTATCTAGAATATGGTAATCTACAAATGTTTAATATGATGTAGTAAATAGATCAATCAATCAATCAATAAAAGAATTAACCTAGTTAGAATTTGCTTCTGAACTATACAACCAAATTATTTACAGGAGTACTGATGAGGTTTATTTTAAAATATTTAAGCAAGAAAGCAGGTGGTTGGAAGGATAGATAAAATATGATTGACCAAATGTGGATAATTGTGAATGCTGGGAATCTGGTACTTAGGGCATCATATTTCTATTTTCTTTACTTTTTTTGGAATGTCTGATATTTTCCCATAATAAATAGGCTTTAAAAATTGCTCCTGAGTTAAGGCAACTTGATTTCTAGATTCCAAATATTAATGTGTTGAAGCATAAATATCTTAGTTAAAAAGAGCTAAACTTTTAAAGAATGATATTTGTAACTTAAAAAAACTCAAAGGAAAGAAAAACCTTGAACACTATAAAAAATTTGGGGAGTCAAAGCAACATTTGATTCTAGGTTGGTAGCTTTTCGATCTAATTTTGGCTAGGGAACTTCTTGACCCAAACCTCTTCATAGTTTATATTATAGAACTGGAACTAATATTAGAAGTTAGTTGTTAATTTTTTTTTAAATATGGGAATCATATGCTCATTCCAAAAGTGCTTTGAAAAAGAATGCTTTCACATTAATCTCTATTATACTCAATTATTTCACAAAATTTTGTTATTTTGTAGTTACTACAAGTAACTTGGTAGAATTTATCCCTGCTTGTATTTGTAAAATATATACATTTTGTACTAACAGCAATTAGGTTAAGACAAGACACAAAAACAATCTACATGTACAAGTGCATCACTGTTTCTATTTCAGGAATGTGAATTCTTCCTGGTTAAATTTGAAAGGTATGGATAGCCATTGATTCATATCTCTTGCAGCCCATTCAATAAATTGAGTTATTGCTCCTAAATAAAGTTAGGTTTTAATAATTGATCACTTCTGGAGACTGGCCAGACTATCACTGGGACCTTTGCTTTTAAGGGGGGGGAGGTCTCAGCTGCTTCAGATTAGCCTTCATATCTACTCTCAGCGACTGGTGAGCTGGGCATCTCCACGTGCTGGACACAGCGTTGTACATAACGAGTGTCAAGCTGCAAGCCAGCGTTTAAATGATGGTTCTTCAGGGAAAAAGTAAGAATGCTGCAATGAGGATACCACAGACATAGGAATGGCATATGGAGACAAGGGACAGATATTAAAGGTTGACTTTGGGTCCTTATGTTAAAAAATAATTTTGTCCAGGAGAAAGAAACACAGCTTCACAGAAGTAGTACGAGTCACCAGAACTTGTGATGACAGTTCTTATTTATTTTTCTTTCTAACATTTAAAAAATAAATTTCTATTAAATAATCTCTTAATAATAAAAAGGAAAAAGAACAGACCACATAAGAAACTGGCTGATTGAAAGAGGAAATGACCTTTCTAATTATTATCCTAATAGAATGCCATATTAATAGGCATTAGAAAAAAATATTTTACTATTGTGTCATTGGGTTGTGTGTACATCAAGTATTATTCATTTAAAAATTTTTTTTCACCTGGCTCTGAAAATGAAGGATGAGTTTCCCATCCTAAATATCTCGAAGTGGTTAAGCAAAACTATTGGTCACAAAATGGTTTGAGTCAGGGTAAGACCTCCTTAGCCACTATTATATTGGAAACTTTATAAAACTAAAGTCTGAAAGATTTTAATTACTCCAAAAATAATTTTTAAAAAATTAGTAATTCCTTAACTCAGAAAAGCCTAATGTCTAGAGGCCACAGTTACCTTGACTTTGGCAAAAACGTTGAAATAAGAAAAATCGAGTAACACAAAAATGCATATGAAGTCTTCACAAACAGAATGCCTGCTGCTTGGCACTTCATTTCTTTCCTTATGGAAAAGTATAGGAAGGAAGGCAGACGGTTTTTACCTCATTTCCATACCAGTTGTGTAAATAGTTTCTCGAGTCTTTTGTCTAAAAACAAGGAGAGTTGAAAATAAGAGATGTTGAAGATTTTAATGTGTGACAGCCTCAACTATATGAAGCAAAGAATAGACTCATCTTTATATTTTTAGAGCTTTTAGGATCTGTCCAAATTAGTTAACATCTTAATTTCCATATTTGGTTTACCACTGGAAACTAAAGTTTCAGTGATGAATGAGAAGCAAAGTTTTATAAAAACTTTGAAAACTGAAAATTTGGGAATATCATGAAAAGATGGAGATCCTATATACACACACTTAACCAAAAAACCCAAAACATTGAATGGCAAAACAAGTATAAAGTGTAACATGCACAAACCAGGGAAGAGAGGACGGCAAGACAGAAAGGCAATATATTTCTTCCTTCTCATGTGACACAACTTACTCAATATTCTTAAGAAAGGTGTTCTCTAATGATGTTTAGTGACATTACTTCTGATAACTGTTGAGAGGAAATAACACATATGTTCTTACTAGCAGATCTCATTTAAAGGCTATATTAGTTTTTCTATAAATCATTGTCAGTTGGTAAGTTTTGATGAGCATTAAAAAATCCACTTTAATTATTTCATCCATATCTGTATTTCCATGCGCTTAAATGTAAGCATGACAATTATGAATGCAATGGGACGTGTAGGTGTAATCTCAAAATCAAAATGCAAGCTTTTCTTAAATTTCGAACACACACATCTCAGTTGAAATATTTACTTGCTATCAACATTACTTTTAATTTTGTAACTGTATAATGGAACTCATTCTTTGGTTGGGGTAGTTAGCTAATCACTATTTCAACAAATACATAGAAGTATACCCATCAAAGGGAATAAAGTAACAGAGGCATAAATCAAGAAGATATTTGCCAAGTATATAAATAAGAGAAGAAAAATAAAGGCAATTTACAAAATAAGGTGGTAAATTAGGCCTTTCTATAGAAACTCAGAAAATGGAAACACCATTTTTGATTACAAAGTCAGCTTAAATCTAAATTGGCGTCATTCTCAATTTTGAGTTGGATCTTACTTTCATGCATGCCTTACTCTCATATTTGAGTCTCAAGTCAGACTTGTGGACACTCTGGTGGTCAGATCTTTTTCTTTTAAACAACCATTCTCCTTCCACACCAACAGTGTCTACTTTGGAGTCCTTGATCTTTAGTGCTTTTATTATGTAGAGATCCTTCACTAACTTTTCAGATAAACCTCCCCTTTCCTTTCCATGAAATAATTTTTCTTCTCTGGGATTCTTAAAGTTTATGAATTCAGGTACATGTAAAGGCAAGTGACTACATAACTCCTGTTGTCAAATTTCATCTTAAAATCACATTGATAATAGCATACTTTATTTAACATACCACTACTAGCAACTTTCAAAGCGTCTGCATCCCATCCCCCAAGTCTACCTTCTCATCTTCCACTGTTCTCTGTTCAGTCTAGTTCACTCTCCATCAGACATCTTCATATGATAGAACATGCCTACAGGTTTCTACTTTGTTTCCTGACATCTGGAACGGCTTTTTCTCTTTCATCCACTGTATTGCTCCAAATCTTGGGGGGAATATATTCTAAAATTGTTATTCTCTTTTAATCTTGGTAATTGTTAACTCATGAAGTGATATGAAAAATAAGACATATAAATAAGCCCATGAAGATATGTCTTTCTTGTGCAAATTAAGACTTACATTAAAAAAAAAATCTAAGCAACTAGGATTTAATTTGGAGGAAAAAATGTTGAGTGGTGTATTACTAATAACATTTAAATAAGTAAGAGATTATTTGATTGTTGGTAACCAGCTAATCTTTGTTACAGATTAAATGGTATTGTGCTCTAATTTAAGTGAAAAGGTTTCTAAGTGAAATATAAGGGAGACAATACAAATTGTTAAATAATGACTTGGCTTACTGAAGTTGGTTTTTTCTATTCTTACTGTAGCAGCCAAATAGTGTCTCTGCTCCTTTGTTTCAAATTTGATATATATTTAAGCTTTGTGAAGAAAGAAGAATGTGTGTGTTGAGAGACAGAAAGTCAGAGAGACATGGACAGAAACATACAATATTGGGGAGCAATCCAGAAGGGGGAGTTAAACAAGATTGGTGTGTTAAACAAGATTCTTCTGACAGTTGTACTTTGTTGTCAGGACAGATGAGTATTAAAAAAGAAGGCATTTTTTTGAAAAATAGTGTTTTCTACTTTTTCATTTCTATACGTATAGCTATAAAAAAAGCATAATATCACAATAAAAACAAGATTTAATATATAATTTTAAAAGCGTTTGCAGGTGTTTTTTTTTTTTTTGAGCTATGTATTATTTCATGCTAGTAGAGAAAAACCAAATTTCATAAATGTGCTGGAATCTTTTTATTTATAAATGCTATCCATCTTGTTCCATAAAGAATCTGAATGGCAGCATTTGATGATTTCATTAGAATAGCTTATCACAACCAAGACAAACTTTTTGTTAAATGTTTATCTTGTTTCATACGATGCGAAGTGAAAAGAAGTGATGAATTTTACAGAAACTTTCACATTTCAAGAAAAGTTTGTAGTTCTCCTAAACAGACTATATTATGTTAAAAATATTAGTTGTTGACTTTCCTAACTTCCACTAGGTTTGTTAGCCTTCTTATGTAAAAGGCATGAAAATCTTTTTAAATTAAGATTTTATTTTTGAAGTCCATTTTATTTTAACTTGAAAAAGTTAAGTAACTTTTTCAAGTTAAAATTAAGTAACTTTTTCAAGTTAAAATAACTTTTTCAAGTTAAAATTAAGTAACTTTTTCAAGTTAAAATAAAAGTAGAAAAGGATATAGATGGAATCTGAACTATCCTTATATGGAAAAGAATTAACTGAGAAAAGAATTGCAAGTTCCATTGTCTTGGGAACTAAAATATAGGACTTCAAGGTAAGATTTTCTGATATGTATAGACTTTTGTGTACATATGCACAATAAATGACTTAATAAACCCTATAGTTAACTGATGATGCTATAATCTAGAAATTTGTTTTGTTTAAACAAACTAAAATGTTACAAGGAGTATTTGTTACATTTAAAGAACTTAGTAAAATTAAAATTAACATTCATTGTTAGAAACAAATCATTTATTTGGCTAAAGAGAAGTTTTAATTTTTAGACGTTAATATATATATTTTCTTAAATGAGACTGATAGTTACAAATTAGTTCAAAGGCAGGGTGACAACCATCCTCAAATTAGGTCTGAAAAAGAAACTATAAACATTGTCAAAGGTTAGACAAAATGACAGGAACATCATATTTGGAAAACTGAGAAGGGAAATTTTCCTTAAAAAATTTTAGGAGCTAAGTATAGTAGCATACTTCGAAAAGAGCATTCGTAATTTCTAAATGAAAAACATACATGAGATAATCATACAAGCTTTCCATGTTCACATAACACTCACAAGATATATATGGAAAATTTTACCCAGAGTAATTTTATATCTCATGTCATAATTTGGTTTATTTTCCTTTGCAAGGATAAAACATCTATTAGTAAAAATCAGACTAATATGAACATTTCAAAACCACATGATTCTAAGTATAATTTTTCATTCCTAAAGCCTGTTTATTTGAAGAACATCATTATGTAAAATATTACAATTATTTGAAGAATATAATACTTTTAAAAAAGATAAACTAGAAAGCATGGGTCACAGAAATAAATAGAATTGCAAAAAGGCATATTAAATGTCTGTCTTTTGAAACGTAATTATCTAAAAGCAAGCTATTTTACTTATAATAGTTAGAATGGAATTACTGTCTTTAAAAATATAAATATTTTCAATATTTGAAAGATAGCCATTTCAACAAATAAGTTACTCTGATAACTAAGCTGCAATGGGACAAGTTATGGTAACTTCTCTTTTTTTTAATTTGATTTGGATTGTTATAAACTGCAGTTTTTACATCCTATTATTTCAAGAAGGTTTAGGTTTTTTTCATCCTTCATCACATGTATGATGATTTCTGGATGTTTTAGTATAGGGCATCACACCGATGCAGTCTTGCAGTGCAGCCCAAGGCAGTTGCAGCAAGTATTTCCCACTAGGAATGTTAAGGAGCTAGGCGGGTACAAGGCTTGAGGAAACAATCTAGAAAAGCACAAATACAGCTTGTCGGTCCTTTCCACACAATTAACCTTTTTAGTCCAGATCCATAAAATACTGTTTATTATCTTAAAAATTTTAAGGAGAATCTTTTGTTAAATGTTAACAAAAGAACGACTATCCCAATTCCCTTTAAAATGCAACCCTTAAAAAAATCAATTCTAAAGTCTTTTTGAAAAGTGCTTAAATCATCTAGAGATAAATATCACTTGGTGTCCTTGTTTTCTAACAAATGGCTTTTTCCATTGTTTCCATTAATTTCACCCACATTCGTTTTTTTAAAAAACAAGGCCCTTCTCCTCATCACAAAACGCAGATGTATGGTTTAGCATACCAAACCGGTAATTACATACTAATTTACGAAAGATTAATTTTTTCTCTTTTCGTCAGTTTTCAAGAAGTCTTCCCGTGATTAACTGTAAACAGGAATGGTTTACACATCAAATTAGAAGCCATTAATTAGCAAGACGAAGTCAACTGCAAGATACACAGATAATTTAAATTATTTAATCACTAATCACCTTGGCTAAAGTGTAGTATACTGTTTCAATATCCTTCGGTAGGTTATTGATCTGTCAGTAAATTACATCCACATCAGTTAGAGATAAATATTAGCGTTCTTTCCTTTCTTTCATGTTTACATTATTCCTTCCTGTAAACACTTCAAAAAAAAAAGCTTTAAGGTTCTTTAATCCCAAATCCCCAATTAGCCGTCACTGGCCTTTTTGCAATCAGGAAAAAGAGTATCTGAAGTATATACAGATCAGGAGTTCTCTTTGCCTATATAACAATGAAAAACATTTTAAAAATGTACGGTTAAGGCTATGGCAGTAAAAAAAAAGATATACGCAGAGGTGGCTTCAGCAAATAACGGGCTTGCAAATGCAAGTGCTTAACAAAAAGCGCCCGAACCTCTATTGCAATATACAGCACTCCAATAAATTACACAACACTTTGCATAGGCTGCAGAAATAACGCAGGACAAGACTTACACAGATGCCAATCCGCAGCATTTATACACATGCACATGGCAAGAGACAGAAACCAAACACTATCATTCAACTCGGGCAGGGTAGCGCGATCCCGAGTTTGCCCAGCGTGAGAGAGCTCTCTGCGTGTGTGTCTGTGTGCGCGCGTGAGAGTAAGACCCATCCTCGGGGCATTTCCCCTCTTTGGGCAGTTTTGCTTCATTTGTTTCCTATTTCTGCTACATAGAAACTAACTTCCATCTCAGCCCCAGCCAGCGCCACTGAATAGAGCCTGTGCTGCGGCTCGGTGTGCGTCAGATCCCTCCGCGGAGCAGTTCCCGGCCCCCTCCCTCCCGCGATCGGCCTCCACAGAGAAAGCGCTTTCCAGCCAACCCGCGGCTCCGGCTCCGACATCTTCTCCGACTGGAAATAAATAAATAAATCGCACCTTTGGCCGGGGAGGAGGGGGCGGGGGGGGTCTCGCCGCGCCGGGTGCTGGGGCGCTAGGGGCGCAGGGTCGGAGGCACTCCTTTTTTTGCGCCGAGGGGCGGGGGCGCGAGCTGAGGCCGAGGCCGAGCCCCGGGCCGCGAAGGCGGCGGACTCCTTTCTGCGGCGGAGGGATCCGCGGCGGAGGCGGCGGCGGCCGTAGCCGCTGCCTGAGAGTTGTTGTTTCCTCCTCCTCCTCCTCCGCCTCCGCCGCCGTTGCTTGAATGGTGGAGCGGAGGCTCGGCTCGTGAACACACAGTGACAGCTATAGGGCAGGCGGCGGCACCATCCCCGCTTCCCCTCGGCGGCGGGGTGTCCCGCCGGCGGCCCTGAAGTGACCCATAAACATGTCTTGTGAGAGGAAAGGCCTCTCGGAGCTACGATCGGGTAAGTCGGGGGGCTGCTGGGGCCGCTGGCACCGGGCGATTACGCCCGCGGTCCCCCGCCCCCCGCCGCCCGGCCGCTCAGCCTGTGTGTCTCCCCTTCCCTTTCTCCCGCGCAGAGCTCTACTTCCTCATCGCCCGGTTCCTGGAAGATGGACCCTGTCAGCAGGCGGCTCAGGTACGGCGGCGCGCGGCGCGGGCCGGGCCGGCGCTCGCCTCTCGCGGGCGTGGGGGAGGGCGG